AATCTTCTTTATCGTTATCTATTACTTTTCATTCATATTATTTACTCCCACTATTTTACTAATTTACTACTAAAAATATTAAATTTAGCTAATCTTCGTTTTTATTATTATAAATTATATTAATAGAATTTATCAATGCAATTATAAAAATTACAGCAATAATTAGAAAATACATATAGATAATATAAATAAATATAGATATTATTAGTATGGGAAATTATAATAAACAAAATTACAATAACAATAACAACAGCTATAATAATAGCAATAACGCTCAAGAGAATACAAAGTATAGTCAAGCTTACAGATATGGTTATAGCGGTGACGACGATAACTCAGGCCCCGCTCCTGTAATAAAACCCAGCGGTACTAAAATAAGTTTTGGGGACGACGATAATGAGGACTACAGTAAGCCCGTTAATTACGATAATAACTTTGAAGACACAAGTAGCAATAGATACAACAATAAGAATTATAATAATAACTATAACGACAATAATTACGATAATGGCTATAGCAATAACAACTACGATAATGGTTATGACAATAGCAACTATAATAACAATAAATGGGACAATAATAACTATGATAACTACAACAGTTATAAGGGCAATAATAAATTCGACAATGATTCCTCCAACAGCAATTACAAAGATAATAAAAAAGATTTTAAGTCTAAGAAAGAAAGCTATAACAATGACAATAACACTGGAAACTTTAACAGATACGATAACAATAATAATGCTGGTGGCTTTAACAGATTCGATAATAACAATGCTGGAAGCTTCAACAGACGCGATAATAATGCTAACAGCTTCAATAAATACGACAATAATGCCAACAGTAGCCAACAACAAGCCAACTCCAAATACAGTACCGCCTACCGTTACGGATTCGGAGGCGATGATGATGATGACGCACCAGCTCCAGTAATTAAACCCAGTGGTAAAAAGATGACATTTGGCAGTGACGACGAAGATGTTGACGAAAGTGAAATCTTACCCGAAAGAAAGGAAGAAGAAAAGCCTAAGCCTATTCAAAATCAATTTGAAACTAAAAAGAAGACCCTTGATACAAAGGATCGTAAAGGAAAGCGCGCTAAATTCGCTCATGATGAAGAATTAGAAGAAAATGAAGAAGAAATCAAGCCCGAAGAAGATGATCCTAACAAACCCACTTTATTCGCCTATGACCCTCTACACGATCAAAAAGAAGAAGAAGAAGCTACCGAAAAACTAAAGGATAAAAACTTGGGTCTTCCTGACTGGTTAGCCCACCCCACATTAATCTCTCCTCAAAACTACACCCCAATAGAATCCTACGAATCCCTCATCGGCTCAGATATAACCAAGAAATGTCTCAAACTAGGCTTCACTGAACTTTTCCCAGTACAAACTGCAATCTTACCAAAATTATGTAAAACCCAAAGTTTATTACTTCCAGACGGTGACATTTGTGTTTCTGCACCCACAGGTAGTGGTAAAACTTTAGCTTATTCATTACCATTGGTTTGGAGCTTAAAAGAAAGAAAAATAGTTAGATTAAGAGCTTTGGTTATTTTACCTACAAGGGAATTAGTAAAGCAAACTGTTACATTATTGAGACAGTTGAGTCAAGGAACTGATTTAAAGGTATATTAAATTAATTATTATTGTTAATTAATATTAATTATTTGTCTTTAGACTTTAGGAATTACAGGTCAAGATGATTTATTAACTGAACAAAAATTATTGGTCAAGGATCCCAACTCAGAGTAATATAAATATATATAAAAATATGTGTATAAATACTAACTAATTACTTAGAATAATTGGAGATGCCAGTTTAATAGATATTCTCGTAACAACACCTGGTCGTCTAGTTACCCATCTCAAATCCACTAAAAACTTTACCCTAAACCATTTAGAATATTTAATTGTAGACGAAGCAGATCGTCTCTTAAACCAGAGTTACTTCGATTGGTTAGCAAACGTTTTATCAAATTTAAGCAAAAAACCCCACCCATTAACACAAGACCCTCATCAGTTATTCCTTCAAAATAACCAAACTCCTAAAAAATTGTTATTCTCTGCTACATTAACTAGAAATCCAGGCAAGATTAACCAATTAAAGTTATTTAATCCAGAATATTTCAAAGTAGCAAGTAGTACAGGCGAAAGATATCCTACTCCTGCTAAATTGAAAGAATTTATGGTAGTATGTCAAAAATCTGACAAGCCATTGAGTTTGGTAAATTATTTGGTTAATAATAGAACCGCTAAAGCACTTTGTTTCACAAAGAGTGTGGAAAGTGGCACACAGTTATTACAATTATTACAACATTTAAAGGCTAAGTTGGATTTACCTGGATTTAATCATTTGGAATTGGATAATTATTCAAGTGAATTGAGCGCCAAACAAAGACAAGAAATCTTGAAAAAATTCCAACAAGGACGTATCAACTTATTAATTTGTTCAGATTTAGCTTCCAGAGGTTTAGATTTGGGTAGTGACTTAGACTTAGTAGTAAATTACGACGCCCCTAACTATATAAAGAACTATATTCACAGAGTTGGTAGAACCGCTCGTGGTGGGAATAGCGGTAATGCTGTTAGTTTTATTGAACAAGGTCAAAGAGCTTTCTTTAAAGGAATTATGGAGAAGGCAGGTAGAATGGAATTGGTTAATGAAGTTAAGTTAGATAAAGAAGGTATGAAAGCGTTAAGGAAGGAATATGAAAGTGTTTTGAATGATTTAGACCTAAGTGATAATGAGGATGAAGAAGACGAAAAAGAAAGTGTTAAGGAAGAGGAGACTAATGAAGATTTACCAGTTACAAAGGACAGCGAAATTGAAGTTATAAAACCTAATTCTGGACCTTTCAATTGGTTAGAATTTACCAAAATTAACTTAAAAGCCTAATAACATTATATAAAATTAGAATAGATAGATTTAATCATAATAAACAATAATATATCATCATTTATAATAGAGTTAAAGTTTTTTATTATATAACATTGACTAAAGCTTAGAACCTGACTTAAAACCGTTAGGATTCATAGATTGCCATTTCCACATATCTTTACACATATCATCCAATCCCAATTTGGCTACCCATCCTAATTCATTCTTAGCCTTTGAAGGGTCAGCAATAACTTCAGCAACATCACCTGCTCTACGCTCAACCAATTTATAAGGAATGTCCTTACCAGCAGCTTTACCCATACTCTTAACCATTTCTAACACAGAATAACCTTTACCTGTGCCTAAATTATATTCGACACAGCCGATAGGAGTGTTTGATTTTTGACATTTATCTAAGGCAGCAACATGACCATTTGCTAAATCTACAACATGTAAATAATCTCTTACACCAGTACCGTCAGGAGTATTGTAATCGGAACCGAATACTCTAACGAATGGGAGTTTGCCAACAGCTACTTGACTAACATAAGGCATTAAATTATTAGGGATACCGTTAGGATCTTCACCGATTAACCCACTGGAGTGTGCACCAACAGGGTTGAAATAGCGTAATAAAACAGCGTTGAAATTCTTATTAGCAACACAATAATCTCTCAAAATATGCTCAATAAACCATTTAGTTTTACCATAAGGACTGGTTGAACCAGTTTTAGCACTCTCATCAATAGGGATCTTTTCAGGTTTACCATAAACTGTAGCGGAACTTGAGAATATTAAATTTTTAACTCCATGTAATTCCATTTGCTTAATCAATACTAAAGTACTTAATAAGTTATTTTGATAATACTTTAATGGTTTTTGAACACTTTCGCCTACAGCTTTATAACCAGCGAAGTGGATTACACTTGAGATTTTGTATGTTTCGAATAATTTTGAAAGTTTTTGAGCGTCACAAATATCGAACTTATGGAATATAACTTTCTTTTGAGTTAATTTTTCAACTCTGCGTAAAGCTTCTTCGCTACTGTTTGAGAGGTCGTCAACAACGATAACCTTGCGATCAAGGTTCAATAGTTCAAGGACTGTGTGACTACCGATGTATCCAGCACCCCCTGTAACTAAAATATAATCTCCTGATTGCTTACTTTGATTAGTCATTTTGTTTAAATTTTTGTAAATTATTATTAATTTAAACTATTTTTTAGTGATTGATTACCTATTTATACCTAAAAATTTCGATTTTATAATGATATAATTTGAGCCAATGATCTATTAAACGTGAATTTTAATCACATGACGTTAAACTTATTGTTTGACAAGCAATTTAAAATAGATTGTTAGTATATAGATTATAATAATAGCACTGGTTAATTGATGTTATTAATAGATAGTAAAATACATATTAATAGCTTGACTTAAGCCAGTAAAGGTAATACATGTTTAAACTCTATTACTCAATACTACAAGGATAGCTAACTTAGGCCCGAAACAAAAATTTTGGATAAATTAATGTTAAATGGCTGACACAACAACAACTCTAAAATACAAGTTACTCTTTATTTAACCAAGATATTAATAGAACTTTTATATTTAACTTGTAATACCAAGCTTATTAACTATCAATCATCATTTAATCAAGTTAAAAGTAACTTGA